CACACACACACACCCAACATCAACTTTTCTAAGTTGCTTCCTGATGTATGGGGAGTTAGTTGAGTCTTAGGACACGATGGTTTTGCCCAACTGCACTCATTTAGAATTGGGACGCGAACAAATCACAAGAAAGGCTGAGTACCCCTGACTGCCAAGAGAACCACTCTTCAAGAAAGACTTCACTGACATGGTAGCATGCTCAGAAAGAACCGGTTCTTGAACAGGAGCCAGTACGTTCATTCCAGAGGCTCAAAATGAAACATCACACTTGATACAGCGTGTCATTACGGCCTCCCTTCCTTTCTCCTGGGAGCAGCAACCATGTGCTTGGGAGAACCCTTTTTAGAAATAAGTGATGAAATCCTGAAATCAAATGTTTATTTCTGAACTATAGTTCTCCTTTTTGTATCAGCCCCACATGGAAGGATTTGGGAGAAAGTCAAAGGCCGAGGAGGAAGTTCCTCAGAACTCGCGAGGGGCACTCTCCCTTCCCCCAATATCTAACCCACATGCTCACTCTCTGCTAGAGTGCATCTGCTCTGCCCACCAGCTTGTCACTGTCTTCACAGCTCCAAGCAAAGGATGGAGCAACTTTATCTAAACTTTATAGGAAACAACGGTCAGGTTGGGTGAATTACTAAGCACATTGGGACAGGTTTAAAGCAAATAACTTATTATGGTTTCGACTCCTCAACTGTCCAAACACTGAAGCAAATGTTCATGTGAATGAGCTATTTTAAACTTAATTTGTGGCTGGGCAGTACACAAAATCAAATCACTCGTTTTACTGATGTGAATCTCATGGCTTGATTCTCTGGTGGATTATTTTAAACTTAAAAAACAGGCAGCACTGAGGAGAAATGCCAGGCAGATTAGTTACCCATACACAAAAACTTTTAAACATTAATGATGCTACTTCCATTTCTATGTTTAGAAAATGAAATTTACTACATAGCTTTGGCTTTGAGAAATTGATCTGTAAAATTGCTCCTGAATCTTTTAAAGAGCTAAATATAGCTAGAGATTATAATCTGACCATACAGTGCAATCCTATCCAGCCATTTAGAAGATGAGCTGTTTCTGAATCAAATGTGATAATATGAATTAAAAATAACAAGTGGCAGATGCCATTTTTAGAGAAAGACCATCTATGTGAACATATGTATATAAAGTAACACACTGACTTCTATGATTTATACATTTGGCAGAAAGAACATATTTATAAGTTGTTTGAAAAAGTCCTCAACAATGGTGGGGAAGGCCTGCTGACGTCCTAGCTCAACTTGTCTAGTTTTTGTGGTCTGCCAGCACACTGATAAGTTTTTTAACTAGAAAAATAAACAAAGCTTTGGAGAACTGTAACAGCAGCTCCGGGGTGCCCTTCCAGTTCAATTCCTGACAGATTCTCGTTTTCACCCCATTTTAAAAAGGAAATGTAGCCACAACTCCTAGGTCCTTTCAAGTCCTTGGAAGAACTGGGAGGAGGGGAGGGAGCGAGGGAGGGAGAGGTGTGGCCTGCAGGGTTTCCGTGAGGCTGGAGGAGAACAGGCCGTCTGTGCTTCCAGGAGCTCCCACGTGTGCGTGTGTGAGGACTGAGGGCTGGCTGGACACGCATCCCGAGCCCAGTACTATTTCTGCCAAGCAGAGTGCCAGCAAAGGGTGCGTTTGGCTCACCCTTCCCCGCTTCTCAACTCCCAAGAGACCAGCTCCCCGGGCCAAGTTTTATTGGCGCGGCTGCGGCCCTACAAAACACACGTGTGCAAAGGACGCAGACATCTGGCGGGGTAGAGCAGGAAGGTGTTCTAATTAAGTGAATGTCGGTTACACCAGCGTCATCCCAAAACTACTCACAAAGTGGACAAGCGGACTTGGTAGGGGCGGACAATGTGCAGATTTTTTATTTTATATAGCAGAAAAGCTATTCTTTTCTCGGGGCCTACAAAGAGGCTAGGGGACAGCAGAGTTCGGAAGGTCGCGAAGGCGGTGCGCGGGTAGCACCCGGGCTTACCTTGCAGGGAAACAGGACGGCCGAGGCCACCTTCTCCATAGCCAGATTCCTGATGCTGGGAGTCAGGGCTCCCCTGCACGTCGGGCAGCAGCTCAGCTTCTGGCGGCATTGGTTACACACCAGATGCCCGGCCTGGCACTGCAGGATGGGAGGCAGGACATAGTCAAAGCAGACCGGGCACTCGAAGAGCGAGGTCAGCTCGTGGTGTTGCGGGG